AGTGAGTGAGTGAGTGAGTGAGTGAGTGAGTGAGTGAGTGAGTGAGTGAGTGAGTGAGTGAGTGAGTGAGTGAGTGAGTGAGTGAGTGAGTGAGACAGAGAGTGAGAGTGTTAGCGAATGGGCTCTGTACAAGAACACCTGTATCGAAGTGCCCTCGATGCCCTTCTCCACCATCCCCACGCGGTGCGCAGGGGACGTGCACGGCCAGTACTACGACCTGCTCCGCGTCCTGGAGGTGGTGGGCACGCCGCCGCTGCAGCGCTTCCTCTTCCTCGGGGACTACGTCGACCGCGGCCCGCAGAGCACGGAGGTAAACGGAAGGGGCGGAAAACGAGACGACGAGTCGGAAATAATAACTTCGTCGATACACGTCGATTCGATGGATCGTTCCTTGACCGCGGGGGAGCCTCCGCGCCGAACCAAACCCAAGCTAATCAGAAAACAATTATGCGAACCTTCGCATGAAAAAGGGCACTCGGTGAAAGAGCGCGTGACGGGTGACGTGACGGGGTCGGGACGGCTCAAGGTGCGCTGTCACGTTCCGATCAAGCCATATTCACACCTTGTGCGCGTTGAAAAAACAAGTTTCCGGAAGATCCGGGTCACTTACTTGAAAAGTACACACAGAAAAAAGAAAAGTTGTAAGAACAAGTTTATGGTTCTTTTAGGGATCACCATAAAATTGAGACAAGTTGAGACAACGATCTGCCAGTGGTGAAAACCGTATTCTTGGTTTGACCCTGAAAAAAACATTAGATAGCTCCTACAACTTTTCTTTTTTTTCTGGGTGTATAGTATAACACCTCGAGTTCAATTCGCGAGGCAATAATTGTCGACATTGATAATGCAGCCGGATTATGTTTAGCGAAAACTCGCGATATATGTTCGGAATGGGTTTCCTTTTCCATTCTTATTGTTATTATTATTAGTTTATTTTCACATCACCCGGGTCACCTGCAGGTGATCGTGTTGCTGCTTGCACTGAGAGTGCGCTACCCAGACAGCGTGGCGCTGCTGCGCGGGAACCACGAGAGCGCGCTCCTCAACAAGAACTACGGCTTCTACAAGGAGCTCGGTATAAAAGTGCCCCATCAGCGCCAGTTTTTTTTAAATATTCAGAAACACGGGCTATCTGATTTCCCACCCGACTTCTGCCTAAGAAAGTACGTCCGTCGTTCGCCGTTACGAAACTGCCAACTTCCAGCCTGTAGCCAAGCTCTCATGGCGCCTGATGGGTAGGCAATATCTCGCCTGCAGTGCATGCGCGTACCGCGGGGCGGCCTACCCTGAGTGTCGCAGGCGCCGAGCTCCCGTGAATTTTCTTCAAATAAACCCGAAATGAACGCGAACGTACTTTCTGGACGATCACTCATATGCCAACCCGCCCACACAGTGTAACTGAAAAACAATACGGGGCAGCGTCAAACCCGCAAATTTACAGACAATTAAATATGAAAAAAGTAGTGGAATCCCTGTAAGACTCCGTGGGTGGCGGGTAGGTCGGCGTGGCTACTCGCCGTCGCTGCCGAAGCGCTTCGCGGACTGCTTCAACTGCATGCCGCTGGCGGCCGTGGTGGGCGGGCGCATCTTCTGCTGCCACGGCGGCCTGTCGCCCGACCTGCGCAGCCTGGAGCAGATCAACCACCTGGTCAGGCCGGCGGACGTGCCGCGCGACGGGCTCTTCTGCGACCTGCTCTGGGCCGACCCGGAGTACGTAAGTATTGTACTGCGTGAGGGGTGGTGGTACACATATCATGGGCCTCATACGGGAACCCTATATGATAATTGTACCCCGGATTCAAAAATAGCATAGAGTCGTTGGTGAGGTTCCGGGGGCGGCCCCTATGATTCTTTTACCCCGGGGTACAAATCTCACGGGGTCGCTGAACCTATCGAAGGGGCCTGATATTTGTATCCCCTACCCCGCGGGGCATGTAGTATACGCGCACAATCCACAACGGGATGCGCGCTTTACGTAACAAAACGAACAGCCCGCGGCTCCGCGCGTGTGTGAGATACCCCCATACGACGGACGCCCGCGGCGTCCCCCTGTTAGTTGTCGTTCTCCCAGGTGATTGGCTGGCAGCCGAACATCTCCCGGGGCTGCTCCTATGTGTTCGGGCCGGAGATAGTGGAAGAGTTCTTGCGGACGCACGGTCTGGACCTCATCTGCCGGGCGCACCAGGTATCGGTATATCTCGGCGCGGCGAAAGGTGCAAGGGTGCGTCG